CTCTCTCCATGTGTCTGTTATTTGTGTATAGGAAGGCTATTGATTTTTGGGTATTCACCTTGTATCCAGATACTCCACTGAATCTGTCAATTAAGTCTAGAAGTTTTTTGGTGGAGTTTTTTGGATCTTCAATGTAGAGTATCATATCATCAGCAAATAATGACAGTTTAACTTCTTCCTTTCCTATCTTTATTGCTTTAATTTCTTTCTCTTGTCTAATTGCTGTGGCTAATGTTTCCAGAACTATATTGAAGAGAAGTGGTGATAATTGACATCCTTGTCTTGTTCCAATTCAGGCTTTTCATAAGAGTCTAAGAAGGACTTGAATTAACAAAGAGGTATTAAGCCACCTATTTTCCTTACACAGCAACTCATTTTTTTATCTGGGTTTTGAAGAACCACAAGAAATTAAGAAGGAAAAGGGAAGGAAGAAATCTTAAGGTCAGTCTATACCTAATGGAAAATGAGGAACTTATGTGGTTGCTTCAAATGTTATCTCTGTTACTGCTTCCCAACTTGACTTTTTCCTTTTCCCAAGGAGCCAGGACCCATACAACTCTTGAGTTGAGAATAAGCAGACCCTTAGTAATGTAAGTAATCCTCACACTAGGTAAGAGTGAAGGCTGTCATATTTGAGCTCTCCTGTTTTGTTTAATGTTACAAAAACTTCCATTTGATCTGCTTCCTTTGTATAAATCTACATCAGGATCCTAGGTTAGTATATTTCTCACTCACTTTCTCATTGCTGGAACAAAATATCTGACACTCCCAAATTAAAGGAGGGGTTTACTTTGGCTCATAGTTTTTAGAGAATCCTGGCAACAACTGGCTGGCTCCATGGCAGGAGGGCATAGTAGAAAGATCTAGTGGACAAAAGCTGCTCACATCATGGAAGCCAGGAAACAGAGAGAGTGGAGGTGCTGGGGAAGATATAACCTTTCAGGTCATGTCTTCAGTGATTCACCTCTTCCAATAAGTCTCAGCTTCTAACAGCACATTTAACTGTGAATACAATGGATTAATCTATTGATTAATCCCCACCTGCCTCCATGACCCATTAACTTCCAAAAGCCCAACCTCTGAACATGTGAGTATTTTATAAGACATTCTCTGTCTAAACTCTAATAGTATGTATAAGCAAAGAGCCATGGCTGTTACCAACAACTGCTCATGCTAATGAGGTATGAAAATAAAAAGGGAGAAGCAGTTGGCTTTGGGTACAGAGGTAATCTCACTCCGGAGAGAAAGTCTGTTCACACTGATCAAAATTAATACCCTGCCTAATTTTCTATGTGAAAATGTTTCAAAGGAACATTAGAAGAAAGACTCTTAGTTACAACTCAGAACCAATTCCTTTGTTTCTCTGGTAGTTTTTAACCTCTGGAGTCAGGGAATTCTTTGTCTTATTAGAAATCTTATCTGTCCTTTGCACCCTGAAGGCCAGATAAATTAAGAAAAACTTTCTTTCTGCTTTTCAGTTTTTCCTCAGACAGTAAATTCATAATTAACTATCTTGTATTTGCAATAAACATTAACGTGTAAAACAGTATAGCTGTAAATACAGTCTCTTTGAAGAACAAAATCACTTTTAAGTTGGAAGCAAAAGCTGTTTGTTGGAAAACCCTACCACATTAAGGTATTAGTAAAGAAACTCTGATTCTGGGTTTTATAAGCATACTATTTTCTTAATGTAACAATATTTACAATAAAGATGGTAAATTACTACTGTCTTATTATGTTATAGCAATAGTTTCAGAGAAGATGATAAAAATATAAAACTCAGGCATTAGAATGTATAGGTAGGCTTTTATTAGGACAAAGATTTCTATATCCATAAAGATATCACTAAACCAAAGATCCAGAATGAAGAAAATATTACAATTAATTACAAATGAAAATATTTTAGCATATAAACCTCTGAAGTCTTCAAAGATTTTTAGTACTGGGACCTAATAACATTATTTTCCAACCAATTAATGAGAAAACCATAATTAAAAATGATACAAATGATAATATATTTTTACATAGCAAAGAGATATGTCTAATATTTTCATGAATTCCATATAATTTACAGGGCAAAAAGAAGGAAAAAATAACCTTAGGAAAACAGGTATGTATCACAAAAGCAAGAAAATGTGACCTTATCATTTGAATAAAAGTTTATTAAAATACAGAAGAGATATGCTGAAACAAATAAAAAATCAAGAACTTAATACAGTATTAAGTATTTTATAAAATAAGATATAAAATGAAGTAATAATTATAAATGAAGACATTTCTACATGTATACCAAGAGTAGAGACTTTTCATATTGGGAACTAATAAAATTATTTTTCAATTGATAGATATTTTCAACATATGACAGATACTGAAATACCAAGGGGCAAATGAACTCTTATTTCCTGAAATAAGGGTGATAAATGATAGACATGGCTTTAAAAAAAAATGTAAAAAACTTACCACCTTCTTCAAAGAAAAAAGAATAATTCTCTTGGGAGAATTTAAGCACCATTAGAAGACACATCTTAAAACACCAGTTAATGAAATATTTGGCATTTTCAGTACCAAATTACTTCAATGGTGAAAATGATGTAGGAATCAGAAGCATATTCTGCTGAGATTCCAGGTAGTTGACACTTTCCCGAACTGGAAAAACATTTCATAACATATGTAAAGTAATTGACTGAATCAAATTTGTTCTAAAAATATGCTATAATTAGTGAAACAGCTTACCAGCCGCCACAACTCTGGGATCCTCATGAGACTCATGTCTTCCAGATGCACGAGTGTCAGCACTCTCATGCCACCAAAGAACATGAACTGCGGAAATAAACCAAAAATTATTTCTACAGAATATGGCATTAACAGTAAGAAGTACAGAAAAGTGAGCCCAAAATGTCATATTTTAAAAATTAAGAAAGATGGTCCAAAAAGGTATAGCCAAATATTTCAGTGATAAGATTTCAGAAGAGTCAAAGACTTGGAAAGAAATTTATAAATTATTCAAACTGGTTTTACAGATGAAGAAACACATAAAGCCAGAGAAGGGAAGTAAATACAACTAAAGGCACATGTGAAACAAGACCCGAGTTTTATGTTTCTACATTTTGTTTTAAAAAGTGACATAATAAAAAATTATGTTGGGGCAGGGATTTAGCTCAGTGGCACGGTGCCTGCCTCCCAAGCACAAATTCTCAGTTTGATACCTGGTACCAAAAAATAAAAAAAAACAAAACAAAAACCAAAAACCAAAAATTGAGTTTACTATAGAAAAATTATACAAAACAAAGAAGAAAGTAAAAGTAGCACAATGTCAAATGCCCAGAGAAAATCTCTCAATGTTTAGTATATTTCTTTAAAAATATGAGTAAAATTAGGGTCTTGTGGTATATTATGCTTGGCAACAGATTCTTCAAAATTAACAGTATCTTCTATTACAATAATATTTATTTTTATGACTATTTGAATTCCTCCTTACAGATGCAGTAACATTTATGCTAACCCTTATCATTGACTATTTGAATTCTTTCCAATATTTTAGTATTCTCTAAATAAATATTTTCCTTGTATATAATTATACTTTTTTATAATTGCAATGTAATGCAAGTTAGATGTACAAATAATAACAGATGAAAACAGAGAGAAACCAGTAATTATTTTTATAAAACTCAGAAATAATCACTTTTATATTTGATATAGTATGTAACTTTATATATACTTATACAAACAAATTTTTATAAAGCATATGTGTTTGTATGAGTATATATGTTTGTATTTGTATATTTATATATTATATGGTTTGTATATATATACTTTATAAATATATGATATAGATGAAGTATGTTTCTGTATTACATGTACATTATATAGTATAAAGGCTATACCACATTGTTTCCAATGTTTCCTTAATGTAAAAGTTAATGACATACACTTTGAGTACATCTATAAGTATATGTAATAATAATACTGATGACAATTACTACTGAAATGTAATAGGTGATTGGCAGGCTTTATTTTAAACATTTTTGTGTATTAGTTCATTTAGCTCTTATAATAATCTAAGTGGTAGATTATTACTGTGACCATTTTATGGATGAGGGAACTAAGGTAAAGCAAGTTTAACTTATGCAAGGTCACAAAGTTACTAAGCAGTGGACTTGGTATTTATATCTAGGCCCTTTGGATCTTAACAAAAGAAAAAACTTAAATTGAGAGAACCACATAGTCTGTATCATATATGTGTGTGTGCATGTGTAGCACATATGTTTAATAAATGTACAGCCTATATATTATAAACTGTCTCCCAGAAATGATGTAATGATTTATACTCAGCATATTACCATTCTTCTACTATCCTGGTAATAATTTTAAGATTAAAAATATATGCAAACAAATGTTAAGTTTTTTCTTATAAAAAGTTATACATACTGGTACATAAAATTAAGACTTAAAAAAACCCTTAATCTCATTATTCAAATATGACTATTTTATATACTGTACTTTCAAATTTTTTTCCAGTATAACTAGTAATACCTCCATATTGTCCAGAAGCAATACTGCCAAAGGTAAGAAAAAGCATATATTCATCTATATGGCCAATTGTGTGGAAAAAGATTAATATGAACCCTATATAGAGTATGAGTTCTTATTTTTTCCTGATCTATCTGTATTAGTTTTCTTATTGCTGTGACAAATACCTGACACAACTTAACCACTTACCTATCCAATTATTTAAATATTTTGGATGACCAAAATTGCATATTTTTTCATAAGATAATGTAATAGAAAATCCTGTCATTTTTCAGTTATTTGGTCTATTAGACCCAATCTAAATTGCAAATGATTTTTTGAATCCCATTTTGAATAAACAGCAAGTGAGCCCTATTCTGTTAAGTCCAGAAGATGCATACATATTTTATAGTGATATTTTTTTCCTTGCTTTTTAATTACAGGATAGCTTGTTAAATGTTAGTCAAATCTGTCAGCATCATTCACAGAATTATTATAATGATTGTCCACTATTGGAATTTTTAAAGTTTTATTTCTTAAGTTCTATCCTTCCTGTACTATGAATGTTGACACTAAGGAGATGACTTTTTTGTCTTTCCATTTCATAACAGACTTTTCTTCTCATGCTAACATTTCTCACTTTCTCAGTTTTTTTTCTTTTGCATAACTTTCGACACTTCCTTCCTATTCAGTCTCAGTGTCCCACAAATGTCCATTTTGTATTATAAAAGAATACCACTGAATTTTGTACTATAAAAATTATATCTAATGTACTTACAATAAGAGTTTTTATAGATTGTAGCACAAAATTGTTATTTTCCACAAATAAACACAAATAAAAGAAAATAATAACAACTTATTATTAGATTTCTTTAGAAACAAAGATCAAGGCAAATACAATGTGCTAAATAAAAAGTATGCAAAAAATAGTGGCTATAAAACAAAGAGACATACATGTGTATCTCGTGGAAAGAAGAATTGGCTGGTTGAAATGACACCTGCCCTAGTGATAGTCTAGATAGTCAGTACATAAACAAACATGCTGTCTGAGTGACAGTATAAACTATTAAGTGGCTAAGGGAGAAGAGGTTTATCTGACTCATAGTTTCAGAGGATTCAGTCCATGATCAGCTGGCCCCAGGGCAGAAACATCATGGTGGAAAGATGTGGTAGAGCAAAGCTGCTTAGTTCATGGTGGTTAGAGAGTGGAGCAGAGGAACAGTGTCAGAAAAGGGCCTGGCACCAGATACAGATCCCCAAGGTAATACTTCCATGACCTATTCAGACACAACCATAAGTGTGTTTTACAAATACACTAGGTGGTTTCCAGCCAATCAAACTGTCAATTAAGCTTAACTGTCACATTTCACCTTTTGTTAGCTTGACACCCAAACACATCTCCTTGAATGATACTTAATCGCCACATAAATACAAAGTTATAGTCTGCTTAGCATGATACAACTGTCCCACCTACAGCAAAAAAATGCACTAATGGACTCCCTAATGTCTCAACAGATCCAGCATTGCTTAAAAGTCTAACTTTACATTCTTCTCTGAGACTCAAGGCAAACTCTTAGCTGTAAACTCCTAAAAATTAAAAAAGCAAGTTACATAATCCCAGTATACAGTGGTGCAAGGTAAACACTCCCATTTCAAAAATGAAATGGGGAATGGAAAATAATAAAACCAAAGAAAAACCTAAACCCAGTAGCACAAATATTAAGTTCTGGAGCTCCAAGTCTGGCATGTTTCAGAGGGGTTGGGTGGCCTCACCCCTATGTGGTTGCTGGTTGTACTCAATATAACCTCTCTTGGGGATTGGCATGCTGCCTGGGGATTTCCTTAGCAGATGTTCCACATTTCTGACATCTCTAAATTCTGGGGTTCTCTACTGCACATTAAATTTTAGTCTCACAGCTTTATATACTCACCTCTCAGGGGCACATCACTTGGCCTCCCAGAATTTCCACTGAAATCTAGGTGGAAACCTTCATAATCCCACAACCCTTGCATTCTACATGCCTGCAAAACCAGTATCTCATGAATAACATCAATGTCTACCACCAATTTAAAGCAGTAGCCAGGCCCCCTTGGGCATGGCTACTTCACTCTTTTAATGCCTGATGGGTAAGAATGGAGTAATTAATCCCAGGGGAACAATTTACTTCCTTCTAGGTTCTAGGGGCACCCTTCTCAAATGAAAGGTTTATACTTTGCACCCTTCAGTCTGTGAAGGATAGAGTCTTACTGATGCCTAAATGCCTTCAATGCACATTTCTTTTGTCCCTATTCAGAGCTTAGTTTCTTATTAATGGTTCCAATTTCTTCAACAATATCTCCTTTGGCCCTAACTTCCCATGTAGATTTTCAAGTCAAAATTTAAGTCCTTCAAATATTTTGCTCTAATTTTTGCTCCTGATTTTCACTATAAATCTGGCTAAAAGCAGCTAGTATCTATGCTACAGCATGAATATTGGGCTGTCTTGAAATATCCTCCCCTAGATCAGTAAATTCACAGCTCTTAAATTCTGCCTTCTACAAAGTCTCAGGACATGGGTAAAATGTAGTGAAGTCCTTTGACAGAATGTAATACAAATGGACTCTAGTCCAATTTCCAAATGAGTTCTCACCTGAAACCTCATCAGCCTGGCCTTTTCTACTGTCATTCCTATCAGCATTCTGGTTAGCAAGAACTAGCATATTTAGTAGTTGGAGGCTAGAGAGCACAGCAAGGTAAAAGCATCAGAAAGGAAGGGACCAGTGACCACAAATAGAACCCAAAGTGACCCCTCCATGACTTAACTAGACATAATAATAAATGTGTTTTATTAATCCCCTTGGCACCTAGGCCAATCACATAGACCATTAAGCATAACTGGCACATTGTCTATCACTATATCCCTATAAACATGCCTACAATAAGTAAAAAAATGACCCTTCAATACTGTTTTAATGTTCATCTTCTAATATATTTGGTAGTCATATGTTTGTTTGCCTTCATGTAAATATCTTTTCTTTTGCTTTTCATCTTTATTTATGGTGATGTGTAACATGCTGAAAGCTTGAACTTTTGCATAATAGTCATGAGTTGATCTTTTTCTTCATGACTTAATTTGCTGTTTTTATATAGAAATAGTCCCCAGTCATATTAGTAAATTCATCTGTATTTTATTTTAGCAATTCTACAAATTAAAAACTTTTTATTGAAGTCTGTAATTAATCTTGATTTTATTTTAGCATGTTATGAGATAATTTTCATAGTAATATTTCTCATTTACATATTTTAATATACATATATTTTTATATATTCTGGCTACTTTTTACGATAGGTTGAACATCCCTATTGAAGAAATCATTTGCATTTCAGATCATGGATACTCAACTGTATTTCTAGAAGCTGAATTTCTGTGTAAAGATCAGGATCTCAGATCTGACTATGTTAAATTTGAGATGTTCATTGGATACAAAATAGAGATTTTAGGATGCTAACAGGATATTATATATTTTTTCCAAATATTTATTAACTATTCTTAGTCATTTACCCTTTCAGATAAAATACAAATATTCTTTCACAATTTGTCACAAAATGTATTTGGAAACTTCAATTGTAATATCTTTTGACTTAAATTAAATACTCTAAATAAGTTTTATTAAATATATAATTACTAATGTATATGTATATACTAAGTGGTAGAAAATTGGTAAATTTTTATAGGAAAAGGCTTTAATATCTATAAAATATCTATCTATCTATATATATATATAATGTTTTTACTGAGAAATAATATCTCTACTACAAAGTTATTTTAAAAAATTAACAAATACATTCAGAGGGGAAAAAAGATGATAAAAGGAATAGATTCTTTCCTAAGGTTCTTGCTGTTATTCAGATTTAATCATTTTGATGTATTAAGGGAAACAGCAATCTACCATAGTAGCTTCATAATGTTAACATTCTGTTGTAGTTTAGATCTGAAATGTCTCCCAAAGGCTAAAGTGTGGAAAGCTCAGTCTCCAGCTGGTGGTGCTACTGGAAGTGGTGGAAACTCTAGGAGGTAGGTATTAGAGGGAGGAGGTCACTGGGGATGTGCCTTTGAAAGTTATATTTTATTCCTGGTCCTTTGTTCTTTCTCTTCTTCCTGACTGTCATGGGGTAAAACAGCTTTCCTCCACCATGCCCATCCACCATAATGTTACTGCCTTGGCACAGGCCTAGAGCCAGCTGACCATGGACTGACAGCTCGGAAGCCATTAACCAAAATAAGTCTTTGCTTCCTCAGGTTTGTTTTCTCAGTGATATTATCACAGCAACAGAAAGCTGACTAAAGAACATTATAAATAAATAAGATGTAAAACAGGTTTTTCTTGACCCTTAAAAACTACAAAACTAAAAATATGGTAATAAAAAATAAAATGTGTACTATAAAGAGGAGAGACAAACTGATCCAAGGAATTTAGCAGTAGATTACCAATATACTCTGAAATTTCATAAGAAATGGACAAGTGTACCTCTGTTGAGTACTCCATATTCTGTGTGGAAAACACCAACTAGTTTTGTGTAGCCTCGATTGACATGGGTATGAACTGCTCTTTTAAATGCATTACCCCACAGAGCTGGACCACCAGGTTTCATCTGAAAAGTAGCCAGTTCATAAATGCCTAGAACAAGGAGACCAATAATTAGAGAAGACATTCAAGCAATTTCTTATCACAGTTGTCTTGAGTGGAAGACA